TCTTATGGGAAATTCACGCAATACCTCTAGAAAAAAAGCTAGAATACTGATAATTAGTGGGTAAGAACAAGAAAAAATTGTAGAGACTTCATACCATTGCAAGCAATTATTGCAGAATAATTAAAAGGTACCTATTTAATAGCTGCGATGTTGCCAATTATAATCAGCCGTTTCTGAAACAAGACCATAATTTTATCATTAGGGAGGTGTATATGACAATTTCTTGTTTTACGCGGTTTTGCTTATACGCGGGTTTATTAATTCCATATTTGATAGGAAAGGTTTATAATATACCTGGGGCATCTCAAGAGTGGCTCACTCCTGTAACTTTTTTATTTTTTCAGATAAAAAACGAGATTTGTTATGTCAGTATATGTATAACAAAGGATTGATTGATGTATTGAATTATTTTCGGTCACTTCCTGTTTCGCCGGAAATGATGACAACTTTTGATTTTTTTGGCACCCTCGGTATATTTTTACTTTATTCGATAAAAAATGACACTCTTGAGTAGAATGACATATGTATGTCAACTTTTGACATTCTCAGTTAAAGAAATGTGTTTTAAATTTTAATCTACAGTATGTCCCCGGATTGTCTTTACAAGAGGAAAAAAAATAGTGTATTGTTTTGTAAGGAGTAAAAATGACACTTTTTGTGGCAAGGCTCTACGATGACGACATACAGCCGAGGCACAAAAAATCATTTTTACTCCGAATAGAACATTCCACATTTTTTTAAACGCCATAAATATTTTTTAAACAATTTCAAACGTTCAAATAATATAAAAAGTTTTAAAATACCTTGTATGCAATTATATATCGAGAAACTATGGTTACGCTCGTTGAATTTGACACTTTATGTCATAGTGTTTTATTTTACTTTATGTCAGTTTACTAATATATTTTCGTACTTTTATGCTTGGTGTAAAAGTGCTTTACTTTAGAATAAGCGGTATTTTATTTAATTTTTGGATTCTTGGACATAAAATAAGACATTTATTATAAAGGTTTAATATGTTTAAAATCTTTGGTTTTTCACAATTAATTTTTGTGCTGAGTTTAAAGGTAGAAAAAGGAACTTTACTGATTTCTACAATTTACAGTTGTTTTATAGCAATATGTCTAATATCAGCATTTTTTAGTACAACCACTTGTTTCTTAATTCAGTAATATTCGTAGTTATTGCACGCATGCATCATAGTATGACCACTATGACCAGTCATTCATTAATTTTAAGAAACTTAACTTATTGAATTAACTTGGGCCATGAGCGGTTTATTACTTTTTTACTATTATTTAACATGCCTTTGTACTTTCCGGTGTCACTACGCTGTATAGCCAGCCAGTAATTAAAGGTATCTGAGTAATTAAAGTTGGTGTAACTGAATTAAACTTGTGCAATTTGCACAGGCGATTTGATAATGGAAGCTGCTTTATTCAAACTGTTGTTTCATAAGCATCGGTTATCGGCTATAATATTTTGAACAATCAACATCAAACGTTTACTGTACTTTAGAAAAGTCGGCCTAAAGGAGCTTTATTTTTTACTTCACTATTATTTCAGAATTATTGCTATGGTACCGAATACTTAAAATAAAAGACGACATCCAAAGACACAACTGTTACATGTATCCTCTCGTCGGGCAGATTATAGAGTGTAGTCTTTGCTATAGACATAAATAATAGTAATTATTATTTTAATTATTTTATTCATTGTTTAATATTATACAGGGTGGTCCCCGAACTGTATTCCGGAAACTTCGGCAGCATATTCTGCAGATAAATATAAGTAAAAAAGTTCGTATAAATGTATGTACTAAAATGCTCAGTTTCGGAGATACAGGGTGTAAAAGTTTCATTTTTATTTCGATTTTTGGATGCTAACACGAGAGGGGACAGCTAACACGCATATTCTCCAACCAAAAAATTTTTGAGGCCAAAATTTGATCGGCGGCCATACTTTGGTGACAAGATTTCGAGGTGACACCAAGCGAATTTTTAGGTTTTTTGTGAATACCGTTTTGTTTTAAATTTATAAACTGTGTTGTTTAGTATGGTGAGATGTTCAGCGTATGGCTGCAAAGGCTGAAGCGAGAAAAAATGACTGGAATTACATTTTACAGGTAAAAGTCGATACACAACTTTTGTTATGTTGTAGTCATAAAATGTACATTTTTTTCATTATAGCAGTAAAAATATGTAAAATGCTTTTAATATGTTTTGTACCACATCCAAACCAAACTATTTTTAATAATTCCAAGTAGTATTTTCAATATCCTGTATTATAATTAATGTTTGAAACTATAAATAATGCTACTCAGCATGGATTTCTCCAGTGACGTAGGGAATTATAATAAGACAAATACAATTTCTGCAATAAACATTTTTTTATATATTTAAATGTAAAAAAATGTATAAAGTATTGTTATCAAATATGTAAAATAATTGTAAACTATAAAAAAAATTCTAGTGATAAAAAATCTATATGTATAGTTGTTATATAAAACTTAAATTTACCTGCCAAGACTTGCTGGGGATGGACAAACTTGTGGTGGGCTACTTGTTACTACATATATTTTTTTAAATATTCTTTCAAAAAATTTGCTAATTTAGGTGTATAATAATAGTTTCAGTGAGTAATTAATACAAATTTAAAAATAAATAAAATAACACAAAGCTTCTAGAATCGTTTATTTTTTTGTGGAAAATTAGAATATTCTTATGATTGAAGGTAACAAATATTAAAAATTACATTATTCATTGAATCCGTACGCAAGTGTGAAGGGGATTGGATAGATTCATTATTATACCGTATGTTCGAAAAAAAACGACGTCCAGTTGGCTTGTAAATGACGATCGACGACATTTCTCAGATAATTTTACATATAAAATGTCAGCGATCTTCATTTCACAGTCATCGCTGACGCCGTCTTTTCGATGTCGTTTTGTATATTTTTTATGTAATTTTATATGTAGAATTATATAGGGAATGTCATCGATCGTAATTTACAAGCCAACTGGACGCCTTTTTTTCGATCATACGGTATAATAATGAATCTAGCCAATCCCCTTCACACTTGCTTACGGATTCAATGAATAATGTAATTTTTAATTTCCAAACAAACAAGACGCCGTTTTTTTCGATCATACGGTATATATGTATATAGACGTATAAAACATATGTATTTACATTATTTTTTATTTAATTATACATTATACACACGTTAATAAATAAATAATTGTCTTGATAATCAGTCCACTGTGACTGTTAAATAAATTTTGCATTATCGACTTAGATATTCTAATATTATAAAGGTGAGACTATAAAATACAAAATTGTATATACATTACTCAAAAATGAACGATATATTAGTTTACGTTTTAATAAATATTTTGTATCGTCTAGGTACAAGCTAATTTCTGATGCTACGCCAATGGAGAATTTATTGGTGACAAGTGGCCTCACTTTCAGCTGCCGTGTTACCTGTCCCCTCTCTTTCCTTATCTAAGGTTAAAACACATGTAGGTGGCGCCCCCTACAAATAGGAGTCATATTGACATTAAAATTAAATTTCTCATGCCAAAAAACTTCTAGACACCAATTTTCATCCAAATATTGACGTTACTTCACAAATTATTTGGAAAAAATAAAAATGAAACTTCTAGACCTTGAATAAGCATTTTAGGACATACATTTATACGAACTTTTAGACTTATTTTTATGTGTAGAATATGCTGCCGAAGTTTCCGGAATACAGTTCGGACCACCCTGTAGATTAATTATTTTTAGTTTCTAAAAATGTACATGTATGTAAATTATTATTATTTTTTTTTATTATGATTGTTAGGTTCCCACAATTAAACTTTATGCAGCATTACATTAACAGTTATATATTTAAAAAATAACACAATACAATTATTATTTCAACTTCAGTTTGAAATACTGTGGTATCGCGTGTTTACATTCCACGCCTTCTGAGAACGTTCAACTAACTGCCCTCTCTTTTATATGGGGATACAAATTTTATGCAGGGTGTTAAAAAAATAGATGGTCAAATTTCGGAGGATGATTCCTCGTGGAAAAATATGAAAAAAGATTCCTATAAAAATTGTTCCGAAAATGCGTAGTTTAAAGATACATGATGTTAAACTTTTTTTTTAAATATTGTTTTGTAATTACCCTGTAGCCAACTTTATTGAAATTTGTCAGTGATATATCTACAAACAATGGGGTTATTTAGGCCCTAAACTCCAGTGGAGTCAAAGTGACTTTTCTTGCAATTTATTATTTTTTTTAAATAAGGCGACTAAAAATAACACTTTTTTCTCTTGTATCATGCCTATCTATAGCTTGACCGGCACAGCGTTGTCCACTTTTATATATTTTCTTTTAATCAAAATATATTATGAAACAAATATAAATTAATTATAAATTTATAAACAGTTATTATTTACATCAGCAAACTCACCTTCTTAACAGCACTTAAGGGACATAAAGGGCCATTACTACCGCTTTCCCAATAAAGTTGCGATGAGTTTTTTACGGCTATTGAGCTATCTTGTACACTTCCCACTAGAAGAGGTTCTAAAAAGAACAAATATTCGCTGCAAGTCCTGAAAGTAAGCTAGTAGTCCCCTAGTAAACATTTTTAAGCTTTATCATAACACTATTTATTTAAACCAAAAACTCGTAATAAAAACTAAAGTGTCAAAGCAAATGATAATGTCAGGAAATAAATAAATAAATGCGGCAACTTGACATTTTTTTACAGCAGAGCTACCACCTGAATCCCCAGCGCGAAATTTAAATTCCAGTTAGTCAGCACGGCGCCGAATATGTCCATGGTTGGCAACAATGAATTTAAAAATCGTGCCCTCGATAAGAGTTTAATTAATATGAAATATATATTTATGTATTTTTAAGGAAAAAATATAATACATATTTATGTGTACTTTTTTTTACTGAAATGTTATTAATGGTTTAATTTTTGTTTCTAGGTGGAGTCTTTTATGGTAGAGCAAGAATTTGAGGACGAACCACAGGCGGAAGCCGCTAAATTTCTATTGGGGCCCGATCAAGACCGAGCCGTCGATCCGGAGACGCAGGCCCATCTCGAAGAATTGCTCCAGGTGGCAGGTAAGGGTACGAGTACATTCCATTTCCATATTATTTTTTTACATTAAATACAGGGCGAGTCTTAAATCGGGTATATTTCGACCCCAGGAACACATCTATGAGGTTTTTTACAAGAAATATGTTGAAAATGCGACATTTTCTTTTAAATTTTCCTGTCTATTTTAGACAGCTTTTTAGAACTACATATTTACCGCAATTTTTTCCACGGCATAATATTTCTATAATTTCTGATATTACCATGGTTACGGCACTAAAAGGGATGACTCGGTTATTTTGGAGTTGAGTCCTGAAAATATTTGTACTTATTTAAGACTCACCCTGTATATAGTCCGATTCAGGAAACGATAGTGTTGCCAACTTTATGAAATAGAAATTCTGACGAAAATACAATACATATATTATTTTTTTTAAATGAAAATTTAAAAATTTTCAAAACAAATTTCGAAATGTACTTTACAATTTTTTTTTTCGTGCAAAAAAACTTATACGCGTGTTCCTGGATTCGAGAGGAGGGGTACAAGAATAATGTCTGATGCCAACGGAAAATGTGTATTAGTTGCGCTAATGCTGGTTTGAATTTACTTACTTTACTGAGAAATGCGTATATGATAACTATTTTTTACGAATAATAAATGAAAATTTTCCATGAATATGGTGTTAAAATTTTCATTTTCCCTCTGAACCTCGAAATTCCCTAAGAATCAGGAAATTTCCCACGAGTTGGCATCACTGTATAGAATATTCTGATGAACTAAGAAATGAACGCTGGCAATTGTCCAGTAGCAAAGCCAAATCCAAGACAAGACATGAACGTATGACAGCGCTTTCAGATGGAGCGGACCGTCCGCGACTTCGAGCAAGTACCATGAGTTTATATGAATGATTTCACATGTGACGCGTTTGCTCCGTCCGGTTGATTTCGTCCGACGGTTATCTTGAAAAAACACGACAGACGCTTCGCGCGGACGCTCCGCTCCATCTGAAAGTGCTCTGACGGTGATGAATTCACACACACATACCATATTACTCTCTAATCCAAGTATAAAAGTCGTCTATCTTTGTCTGGTACAGGGACTGGACCGGTCATAAAGCCCCGCCTACACAGTTTTACCTTCCCAGCATTGACTAGCGAATGCTCGTGTTACAAAGCGTTACATTACAACGCTCGGCTCAAGTCGATCTCAGCCTTAAGACTTATTCAACCAATTTAAAAGTGTCGAACTAGATATTTGTTAATTTATTTTAAGAATTGTCTCATTGGTTTCTCATGTGTTGCAGGAATTAGTCAACTTGCGGCCAAGGACAGCAAAGCCCTAGGCGACCCCGAGGTTCTGCGCAGACTAACGTCCAGCGTGTCGTGCGCTTTGGACGAAGCCGCCGCAGCACTGACGCGCATGCGCAGCGATAACGCAGCCGCAGCATCATCTATGCAAGGTAATATTGCAGTAACCACGACTGAATAAATGTCTATTTGCTGTCTTTTGTGTTTTTATTGGGTAGAAATACTCATAGAAAATCATACTTTCGAATTTTTTTAAATAAAAATTGCAGTTAACATGTGTTTTCTTTAAATAAACTGTCGCAAGTCTGTTGAAAATAAAAAAAATTGAATTCTATTGAATTCCTTCAAATGACAAATTATCATCGATTGTAATTTCAATGACCACTGTGACGCTGTTTTTTTCTTTCAATTTTACGGTATGTTTGTTATAGAAATATAATTTTTTCTTGTCATATTTTCCTGTCCATGTTTATCCCAGTGGCGTTATTGATTTTCTTCTCAAGTTGTAAACCGAAATATAAATAACTTCTAAGGTTGCAAAGAACCAAAAATTACCTAAACAGATTATTAGAATACTTCTTTATGTTTTGTATCAGTCATTATTTTGAAAAATATCAAATTATTTTATATAAACAACATAATAAGCAAGCCGTCTCTTTTGAGAAAAAAATAAGACTGTTATTTTTTATCCTAATGGAACAAAAATAATTATTTTTGTAAAATTAAAGGTAAAAAATAACAAGTATTTTGTAGGATCGTTGTGTGTTTATATTCCTAGTATAAATTATGAAAAAAGACGTCTTGTTTTTTTTCTAAATTAAATACTTATTAATTTTAAGTTGCATTCACGGTTCTATCCCAAAGAACTTACCATTTTGTCATTTTAAAGGCTACTATGACACCATTTTTTCTGAACACAGTACTTTTTTATATTTATTTTTTATTATTTTAATATTTATTCGTTTTTAACGAATGAGCACATATTCACTATTATAATAGTATAATCGAATGTGGTTATTTCGAAATATTTTTATCTGTAATTAAAGAAAACAAGATCAAAAGAAATATTAATTGCAGGTCGTTTATCAAGTTGACAGAATAAGTATAATTTATTAAATATTGGGAAAGTTGTCATCAATTTTACTAACAGAATACAAAATAATAAGGAATTATAATAAAGATTTATTACCAAATATCTTAGAAAAAATCTAATCACACTAGAAACGTAATTTCAAAAATAGTTAAATACTAAGATTATAATTATAAAACTTTAAGGTTAAAAATGTAAACAAATCAAGAACTCCAAGATCTTTGTAAATAAACAACTGCGGTGTTGTCAAATTGAATCTTGAAATCCTAAAACTGACGTACATATACAGACCGGACCATCGTAGTAGTAACATAGGCAGAACCGGACGAATTAGCGTATACCCGTCCGCCGGATAAAAAGCAGGCGAAAAAATGCGATAAAATATAAATAAGTAGATATGTGATAAGAATGTTTCAGAATTTGTATTTATTCATGTTTTAATAGCCAAAACGAATACATAGGTTCTCGCGACAGTTCTCAGACAGTGTAAAATTTATTTTTTAAGTAAAATAATGGAAGTTCGTGAGAAAATTCAAATTGTAAAATGGTATTTCCAGAATAGGTCTTTTTACCGTTTTAGTCAAACCGTTTAATTAGTGGACATGGAACTATTTTGTGGCCCGCTAGATCACCAGATCTTTCTCCCAATGATTTCTTTTTGTGGGGTTATGTAAAATCCAAAGTGTATGGTCATAATAGGGCTAATAATCTGGATGAGCTTCAAGTAAAAATACCAGAGGCTTTCCAAACTATTAGCCCTAATATGTTAGCCAATGTCAGACGGGGATTTTACGACCGCCTAGGCTTCTGTCTAGCACAAGAAGGTGGTCTTTTTGAACACTTGTTATAACTTTTTTTATTTAGAGTAATATTTTTTATTTTTTTATTTTATTGATGTATTTTTTAATTTTGGAAATAAGTTTTAGGTTTAGAGAATTTATTTATTTTTAGTTTTGGCTTGTAAACACACTCAAATAATAAATATTTAAGTATTTTTATTTTAAATGTTACCTTAAGTGAAGGTAAACACTTAAAATGAAAATAATAAATACTCCGCACTCCTCGCGTCGTATTCCTAGTCTGTCACAACCGACCCGTCCAAGCACAACTGCAACTGCGTGCTGCCTGACCAGCCGACGAGCCGGCAGTGAATCTCGAGTACAAACGCAAATCGGGTAAACGCAAATTCGTCCGGCAGCTTGCTATGTTACTAGTAGCCTGGTCTTCTCTGTATAATTTTGCAATTCAGAGTTAATATTGTTATGAATTATTTATATAGAAACGAAAAATACATATCAGTAGATACAATTCTAAAAATCTAATAAAACATGTGTGACAATCTTTGCATGTACTTGTGAAACAGTGATGACACACCACAAGTACATGCCAGAGGTAGCCGACGTATATAGAGTATGGCACTGTAAGTAAGAATCTTTACAATTTAATGAAATACTATACTCATTATAGAAATAATGATATACGATCTTCATTAATAAACTTTTTAATAAATAAATGGCAACCTTGCATTTTCTGTTTGCATCTAGTTTATACAGGGTGCCAAAAATCAACAGCACCTTTTTTACATAAAAAAGTCCTAGCTTTAATTTTCATCTTGAAATTACTGTATCTATAAAGAGTAATAAAAGAAGTACCACCACAGTAGTACTCTCAACCCTAATGGAAAGTACCCTTTCAGGGATGTTACGGAATTTTACACTAGTACCATTCGCTTTGGCATTAAAATTTGTGTAAGAGTACCAAATTTCAAGAAAAACGGTTTACATTATGTTCATACCCATACAGCACATCAAATCACATTTACGATGTGTTTACATTATTAAATGTAGACACAGGGTGACACAGTTCCCCCGATGTAAATATGCTACGTTTACACATTGTAGTTCAACACGTATGCACAAAGGTTAAACGTCCGCCTCACAATGTAGCCACAGTATAGCATTTACGTATACACAAAGTAAGGGATACACAGTGTGCCGTAGGATATACGGTGCTTATGTATTACGTTTAAACTCTGTTTACACATTGCAGTTGTGACTACTGCGTGTATACGTATGTATTTTGCTTATACATCGTGTGCTAGATATACCTCTTGTGCTAGATAAAACTACTTCTTATGAATGAATTTAGGAAATAATACAAGTTTTGATGCCTAACTTTTCATTCTTTTTAAGAAATATTTATTCAATGATACCAATTATATCTTTTTAGAACGAAAATTAGGAAGGCAAAACTTTGTATTTTCCAAAAGTATATCGATCGTAAGTTCAAGAGAAGTAGCCTTAAAACTGTTCCATTTTTGTTTTGTATTAAATGTACCATTTTTTTTCCATAAAATGGATTAAGTGGTTAAAAATAAAATTCTTATATTTCTTTATATCATGGAACGCAATAGCGCAAATAACACAATAATAATAATTATTTACACTGCAGAAACCAGAAGTAAGAAAACACTGTAAAAGAACAGAATTTGTATCAAAATGTATTAAAAATATAAGTAGGTACCTAGTATAACAACATACTAAAATGGTAAACACTGGTATATCGCCACGATTTGGTGGACCTCGTTTAGTCATTTTTTCTCTTCTTTTCCCTCCAAGCAGTTGGTTTGTTAGCATACTCATTCATCGAGATTAACAATCTCAGATTGACAATCTCACCCTGAAATTTTATATGAAACTGATTATTGAATATTAAACATACTTGTATATTGATCCATCAATAACTTACCGAATATCAGTGTAAGAAGTTCTTTGAAGTGTATAAATCTTTCTTTCTTCATATTTCTTTCTTCACTTCTCTTCATTTAGATTTATATTATTTCCAAATTAAAAAAAAAATATATTGCAGAGCTAACCTCTTTATCATTATACGAGAATATTTGGAGTTTTCATTCATTGGAGTCAAAATTTGGTAAATTGGGTATCGAGTAAGGGAAGAGTCGCTGCTATAATATTAATAATAGTCTTAGAAAAGTGTAACAAGGTAATCAAAAACTTGTGCTTACCTTAAAATCTCTTTTAAACTACACACAAACAGAACATTTATATAGAGCTTCCGAATGATAAAACAATAATGGCTGCTAACACATACCACTCCTAGAAAGGAGAAAGGAGAGAGAACACATAAGATACACTTGGTCGGTTTATCTACGCTGAGGCTGTCCGCGCGTGCGCACACCTTCATTTCATGCTAGAATGTAGACACAACAGTACACTATTACAAAGTGTCTATATAGAAATTTATATTATGTATATACGTCACATTTTTACAAGGTGTGTACTATAGGCACCACTATGATACGAAGTATCACACATACATATGACATATACATTGTATGTCTCATATATCGACGTCAGATTTCATCATTTTAATAATTATTTGTTACGTTACAAAAAACTCTTTAGAATCTTGAGTGCATACGGTATACAACTAGTAAACACTGTATCACACAATTCTATCAATATAAATCTGCGTGTATCTCATATGTATATGTTAGAACTAGATGAACACTTAGGTTCACTTTAACATATGTTGTGTCTCATGTGTCTCCCTTGTAGAAACGTAATTTCATTTGGACGTGCTGTGGTAGCAACTTTTTGTTTTATTTATTTTTTTTCGTAGAATCACCCACACCCACTAAAGTTAGATACACTCTTTTTTGACACCCTGTATATCTTGGATACATTCGTTTTGTACAGTAATGTTTATCTATTTATATTATTTCTCTGAGGGAAATCTAATCCAACAAATGGTTCATTTAAAAACATATATTAATAAATCTAATAATAGAAGCAGTGTGTCGAATTATAATACTTATCTTATTAAAAAAGGGGTAAATTTAGACACAGTGCGCTGACTGATATAATGTGAATAAAACTGCAGTTGTAGAGCTTCATTTTATGATAGATTAAGGACAGTTCCTTGGCCAGTTCTTTTTTTATTCTATTAGTAACGTTTTCGCCTTCATTTTGAGTGGTTTTCGAAATTGGTCACACTGAATAGAATGTAAGTTTATTAACAACACTAATTTGTTAGAGAACGTAGCAATTTAAAAATAAAAATGTTCATGACACTTCTGTTTTTTAATCAAATTAAGAGATGCTACAGTATGACACGCATTCAGTAAATGTATTGTTTATTGTACAGGGTGTCTCCCATTTTCGCGTGTTTTACATGTTTCCTTGTTTACGAGAGAAATACAAAGATGAGTTTTTCACCTTACTGTGTTTCTTTTTTATGAAACTAAAGATCCTACACACACATTTGTCCTAGCTTTCTTAGTTTTTGAAATACAGGGCGAATTTGAAAATATTGCATTTTTCGACCCTCTTCGTATCTTGGTTATCTTATCGAAAAGGTGAAAAGTGAGTCTCGTAGAGAGTTTTGCACGTAGAATCCAGTGGCGTAACTAGTTTGTCGCTAGAAGCTGCCATTTTTAAATATGACTCAAACTTTATTTTTTTTTTCAAATTATTATCTTATACCGGGTGCGTCTCAAAAGTGGTTAACCCCTATAACTTTTTTATTTTTTCAGATAAAAAAAACGAGATTTGGTGTGTTAGTATATGACATAAATTAGGATTGATTGACGTATCCAATTTGTTTTCGGTCACTTCTTGTTTCACCGGAAATTACTACAACTTTTGATTTTTAAACCCCAAGTAGCATCTATCTGACTTCGAACTAAATCTGACATGAAGCGACGTCAGACTTTGTGCAAATTTAGGTCGGGTGCTGGTGATACCACCGGTGACGTCGCTTTCCTATTAAAAGCGACGTCGTTGGATCCGAGTCGGTAAATTCAACGATCTGTCGACGTACAAAATAACAACGTACCGTTTTTATTAATTTCCCAACGTCGTTCCCACGTTGGGCTTGCACGACGTACATATACTTGAACTAGCCCGACGTTTACCCGTTATCCGAATAGGATACGTCTCACTGATAATCCCTAAAGTAACGTCCAATTATATTTTGTTGTATTTTATGTTCATATTTATAACCTAATTTACATGGTACAAAGAAAACAAGGTATGATCGATACGGTACTCTCGGTATTTTTTTACTTTATTCGATAGAAAATGACACTCTGAATAGAATGACATATTATACCGGGTGCGTCTCAAAAGTGGCTCACCCCTATAACTTTTTTATTTTTTCAGTTAAAAAAAACGAGATTTGGTATGTTAGTATATGACATAAATTAGGATTGATTGACGTATTCAGTTGTTTTCGGCCACTTCCTGTTTCACCGGAAATGACTACAACTTTTGATTTTTAAATGGCACCCTCGGTATTTTTTTACTTTATTCGAAACAAAATAACACTCTGAATAGAATGACGTATCATGCGTCAACTTTTGACATTTTCGCATATGGTGTATTTGAAATTGTAACATGCGGTTCATATCGACAATTTGACTCGAAATACCAAGTGTGTTGTATCAAATTATTCGTAAAAAAATGCTTTTTCCAAATATGCTAATGAGCCACCCTCGTTCCATTTGAAAAAATTGAAATATGATTTATTATTTTTTTAAAGCACATCGTTTAACAGATATTACAAAATAATACACGTAAAAATATAAACAATACAAAAAGATATAAAATATATAAATATAAAAAGAACACGGTATATCACAAACAAAATACGCAGTTTTTTTTACTAGTTTGTATTTAATCTCATTGTATTTGTCTCCTGTTGCGCGTATTTTTGAAATATGATTAAAAATACGATTTGAGCATTTTCTATCTGGCCAGGACAAGACACTAAAACATTAGACGATCAAATCTATTTTTCCAAGGCTCCTTGATTAGGAATTGGTGTTTTTAACATAGCCATGGCACTCTAGATTGAATTTTAAAATAAGATTTTTTATTAAGCGAGATTGTCAAAAGTTGACATATGATATGTCATTCTGTTCAGAATGTCATTTTCTATCGAATAAAGTAGAAAAATACCCAGGGTGCCATTTAAAAATCAAATGTTGGAGTTATTTCCGATGAAACAGAAAGTGACCAAAAACAATTGAATACGTCAATCAATCCTAATTTATGTCATATACTAACATACCAAATCTCGTTTTTTATCTGACGAAATAAAAAAGTTATAGGGGTGAGCCACTTTTGAGACGCACTCGGTATGTCAACTTTTGGCAATTTCACTTTAAAGAAAATCGTATTTTAAATTTCAATCTAGAGTTCACTTTTTATCGAATAATTGTGGTCATTTCCGGTGAAACAGGAAGTGACCGAAAACAATTGAATTCGTCAATCAATCCTAATTTATGTCATATACTAACACACCGAATCTCTTTTTTTATCTGAAAAAAAAATATAAAAAAGTTATAGGAGACACTTTTGAGACGCACCCGGTATATTATTTTTTATTTTATTTGCCTTGTTATGAGCTTCTAAAAATATCAGGTAAACAATCCATTATTTAACTTTTTAATATAAATCAACCTGGTGTAAATTTAAAAGAGTATTACATAATATACAATATGGATTAGCCAATAACCAAATTTTCACAACCTAAACAAATTATTCGATTGTTTTAATTGCCTAATTTAAACCGTCCTTCAATTTTTTCGATTCAAATAGAGATTACTATTAATATCAACAATCCTTTGCAGCTCCCTCTTGTTTATTGGACAGCATCTCCACCCGCCCGACCACTCAAGGGGGCGAAGAGATCTCCGACGAAGACAAGACGGCTCTGGTGGAGGCCTGCAACGATGGCGACGTCGGCACAGTGAGGAAACTGCTCACAGAGGGCAGGTCGGTGCACGAGACCAGCGAGGAGGGGGAGAGTTTGCTTAGCTTGGCGTGCAGCGCGGGATACTTCGAGTTGGCTCAGGTAAATCAAAATGAAATCGTTTATATGCTGATGTTAAGTCAGTTTAGGATGTTGTTAAGAATTACAGGGGTCCCAGTTGTCATAAAATTTCATAACTATTGTAATCAAAACAGGTCTAATAATAGAATTTTAGATTAGAAAATGTATTTTTCAAAAAATAAATTTTCGTATCATAGAATAGTAATGGTGCCAAAAATATCAAGAGGTTTAATATAATAAAACCCTTTATTTATTATTAGTTCTCTAATCGTTATTAAAACACTAATTTTTAAGGACAAAAATGTCATAAAATCATTAGAAAATTTTTATTTTTGCACTGGGACCTCTGAGATAATGAAAATTCTTATTGTAAACTGTCTAAAGACTGACCAGCGAGAGATGCAATAATTTTGACAAACTAAATTCAAAAATTGACAGAAAAAAGATTTATTTTGGATTCAAAACGTCAGCAACATATGTATGTATGTCACTGTCATATTTTATAAAAAGACAAAGGAACGAGCATATGATGGAAATTATCTGTACTTCGTTGGTGATTTAGTAAGATCGACTAAATTCCAGTTTATCAGTGGAATTATTTATGTGTCAAAATATAAAGTAGGGAAGACTCGATGTTACTCTAATATGGGCTGTTCAATTTGTTAAAAAGGGTACATTTCTAATAAAAATAAATATTTTAATTTAATTATTTAATAACAAAAGTACAGATAAGCTACTGAAACATCTAAAACGAATTGACGTATTCTAACTATTTTTGAAAAGTAGTAAATAAGTGCGGTGCCCGGTGGCGTAGGTAGTGGGTTCGAATCCTACACCCAGCATTTCATGAGCCGACTATTTTTATTAAAATAAAAATAGTTTGGGTACCTAGGTCGACTCAGCCTTAAATGAGTACTTGGGATTCACAATCCTGAGGTAGTAATAGGCGGTTGAAGCGTAGTGCTAGCCACATTACCTTCCTTGTATACCGAACGGCTCTAGCATGGCAAGCTGTACCTCCCAAGGCGTCAAACGCTATATACGGGAGCTATTATTATTATTAGTAAATAAATGCAAGAATACAAACATAATTACTAGTTATTAGTTTATTGTATATTTTTGAACAGCGTTAAAAAAGTTTTTAGCCTTTGTCTAAGATTCGCAACAACTCAATTCAAGTCCTGACACAATATCTATAAATTTGTACACTTTGCTTAAAACCATTTATAAATTAGACAAAAATATATAAAATAAACTCACAGTCCAACAAATCCACAAAAATTTAAATCAATGTGTCGAATAAAAGGTCAAACAAAACTGTCAACAAATGGTTTCTACTGACATCAATTTCGTGTCCAATGCAGAATATAAAATAATTAGACACCTTCCTTAGTCTTTTTATACAATGCTCTCGATGGACAGACTATAGATCTGTTTATATTTGAAAATCCTAAGTTTGTTTGGTATATTCTGAAAAATTGTAGGTGTTATATGGGTGATTCAATACTAACTGTGATTTTTTCATGTACTGTACTGTTTGTTCCTACATTTCTTAAAGTCTATTAATGAAATTTTTGTATCAATACCATCATCAATGTGTGTAATGATACAATTATTCATAAATAAATTGAATATTTTTTTGAAAAAATATGTATGGTATCCATAACAAGAATGATTATGAGTTTGTAGTAAAATTCTCTTGCGTAACATTATTTTTACTGTTAAATACTGTTACTATGCATGAAAATATTTTTTGGGTAATTTTAGTACAAGTTTGGTATCAAAAACAGTTAGGAGAATCACCCATATACCAGTCTGGTCATTTTAAGTCGGTGGTCTGTATTTTACTGAGTAAAACGAAGAAAAGGGTAGTTGACTTACGTTATAATCAGTTGCAGGGTTACCAGTGCCAGGCGTGGTTTCTCCGATTAAAAATTCTTCTTTTTTAACCTGCATTAAACTATTCCTGGCCATAGATCCCTCCCATACTTTTCCATATTTTCCTGTGCGGTACTGTATATAACTATTTTCCTAACGACTTCCCATTGTTGTTTGGACTTCCTACACTTCGTTTTAGTTAGTCTAGGCCTCTACATTGTGATTCTTATTCCCACTTATATTTATCTAGCCTGACTACATTCTCAGCCCGTTGCTATTTCAATTTCTTTAATTCTACCAGGAAAGGAAACAAGTAGCTTCATTTAGTAGCCAACTCATTTGTTCTTTTTCTGTCATATTCCATAACTTTGTTTTACATCACGCGATTACTAGTGACTCTTTAGAATAAAAATAAGATAAAAATGCTTATTGCGAACATTTAGTAATGAGTTATATTGTAGTGATATAAAAAAGCATATTTATGATTTTGTCTGGGGTACACAACGTCTTTTTGCCAACATTATATGTACGCCACTGCTACATTAGACAACCAATCTAAAAGCATTCAGTAACGCATTCATTTTCTTGTGTTTTTCAACACCTTGTAGCCCGAGTAGTGGAGCTCCACCAAATCTCTCTGCATGCTGCGAACAGTCTGTCGAATTCTGTCAGCTAGTGGCAAATATTTAGGGAGTGGTGCTACTCTTTTCCTTATACCCTGATTTATCAACAACTGTAGTTTGTCAGTGATATTTTTATGCGTCGACAGCCCTTTGTGATAGTTTATGTGTCGACAGCCAACTGATTGTGTTCATATCGTAGAAATGAAAATTGAATTAAGGGGCCACACCAGTAGAATGTCAAATATATGATATATTACAACTGTAGCAAAATGACTGACGAATTCATTGTGGATTTATTAATAATTGTCTAACCCTGGATTCTTGGTCGGTTTGATATTTCTAGTGAAATCTGGCAATGCCGCATAGATAAAATGTATCAGCCTACTATTTGTCTCTTTTTAACATGTGTGTACTTATTTTAGGACACCTCCATCGTTATCTGATGCGTAAAAAATCCAGACCACTGATTTAGTATAACCAGGTCTGGGTGTATTATTTTGTTGGTTAAAGATTTGAACTTTTGACAGTACATTTTCTTACAGTTGTTTCTTGAAATCTTATTCTTTTTTATACTGTCAGTATAAAAAATGTCTGTTTTGTGTTGTCTGTTCAGTTTAAACAAAGTGAGTATATGTGTTCTGTACAACTCCTCAAATAGTGGTTTTCGGATTTGGTGACAAAGTGTAGGCCTCATATATACTTCTGAAAAAATGACATACATCACTAGCACACGCTAGAGGTTGCCTACACACTACGCATAGCATGTCAGTGTAACAAATCCTGTTCCTATTTCCTAAGCGAAGATGAAACGTAGTATAATATTATATTGTACTGAATATTATTTAATATTTATATACAGGGTGATTCCTGTAAGTCGGTCATGCTTTCGGGGAATGATAGGGGACGTTGAAATATTAATTTTGATATAGCACACTATGAGTCGGAAATGCCTCTTACGCAAGATACAGGTTTTAGAAAAATTAAAGATATTCTTTAATAGTTTTTTAACAGTTGAAGGTATCGTTATAAAATTTCATTATAGGAGTCTACCTAACAGAGACACTTTAAATGTAAAAAGAAGAGGTTTTAGTTTCAGCCAGTGGCGTAGATGTGATACGCATCGGGTAATTTTTTCAAAAAAAAAAAAAATAGTACGCCACTGACAAAAATAAAAATTTTGGAGTTTTTTTTATTTACTCGGTTTATTTCCAAGAAAAAATGTCTCTTGCAACTTTCTCCTATCTAACACCATTTTCTCACAATTTAAAAATAAATAATTTTTTTAATGAAAATCTTAAATACCAGCGAATTATTATAACTAGAGGGCAGAAACACATGTGCATCGTTAGCTCCCTTCATCTTGGGTAACTTTGGTACTTTTTACTATTAGCACTAAATATATTTTTAAAAAATTATAAATTTAAACTAGAATTTCTTTATTGTTATTAATAAAATTCTTAGTTTTAAGGTAGTTATAATAATTCGCATATTTAAGGTTCTCATTAAAAACAATATTTACTTGTAAATTGTGACAAAATGGTGTTAGATAGAAGAAAGTGGCAAGAGACTTTTTTTCTTGGAAATAAACCGAGTAAATAAAAAAACTCCGAAATTTTTATTTTTATCAGTGGCGTACTATTTTTTTTTGAAAATATTATTATCTGACAAACGAATCTAAAACAGCGGAAGGAATTCGGGCAAAAAAGTCGATGTTGTCTCGTTTAATTATAGAAAAGCAAAGTTGCTCGATATTACCTATAAATTGAATATATTTTAGTTCATTTCAGTATACATAATTATATATATGCTAATATGTTGACGTAGTTCTTATTGTAATAATGTATTCTATTGTAATAATCTATCTAATTAACTGATTTCGTTCATTCTGCCTATTATAAAAGGTAAAGTATTTCCTTAAGATAACGTCCGCTTAGGGTAAGCTGGCAACGCTGACAAAATTCATCATGGCATCCCGGATTCAACCAGTCTGATTGGTCGAGATTCTCGCACGTCTTGCCGCCATTACCCCCAACTTTATGCCCCTCTCTAGGAATAGTAGAAACAGTCACTACTATTGAAAAATCCAGTGGCGGTGTTATTGTATTGTGTTTTATATCTTTAACTTGATTTGTGTTAATTGTAATTAGTACACGCGTTTTAACAAATATTACTATATTTGGCAAATGACTAAACAAAATGTAGGTACATTTAAAGTAAAATAATATTATAAACTTGACTGGAAAATATTATAAAAATTCCTGATATATTTTTATGAAACACCGCACGCTCGTGGATATTTTATGAATGAAATCGGTCATGATTTTAGAAAATTGCGATCCCCTTGCCGTTGCCCCGTTGTTTCAGATCCGTTTGTCAGACTGTACCCGATGCGTATCACAGCTACGCCACTGGTTGAAACTAAAACCTCTTCTCTTTACATTTAAAGTGTCTCTGTTAGGTAGACTCCTATAATAAAATTTTATAACGATACCTTCAACTGTTAAAAAAATATTAAAGTATATCTTTAATTTTTCAAAAACTTTAACACCCTGTATCTTGCGTAAGAGGCATTTCCGACCCATAGTGTGCTATATCAAAATTAATATTTCGACGTCCCCCATCATTCCCCGAAAGCATGACCGACTTACAGGAATCACCCTGTATAGTTCATACCAATTAAACTTTTAGTCACGTGATTAAGCTTGACCGGCACAGCGTTGCACACTTTTACATATTTTCTTTTAATCAAAATATTTTACGAAGTAAAAATAAATTAATTATAAATATATAAACAGTTATTTACATCAACAAAACTCACCTCCTTAACAGCACTTAAGGGACATAAAGAACCATTGCTAAAACCGCATTTCTGTTCAAAATATGTATTCTAATAAGGTTGCGATGAGTTTTTGCATTGGCTATTAAGCTATCTTGTACACCTTCGTACTAAAAGAGGTTCTAAAAAGAACAATGTTCAACTGCAAGATCTGCTAGTAAACATTTTTAAGCTTAAATTATCACAACACAAATCATTTAAACCAAAAACTCCTAAAACAAAACTGAAGTGTCAAAACGAATGACAATGTCAGGAAATAAATAAATAAATGTGGCAACTTGACATTTTTTACAACAGAGCTGCCACCTGAATTCCCAGCGGGAAATTTAAATTCCAGTTAGATACCTCGGTGCCGAATACGTCCATGGTTGGCAACAATGAATTTAAAAATCGCGCCTCGATTACGTAACTAAAAGTTCAATTGGTATGCCTTGTATGTGTATTGCTGACTTCCTATTTGATTTATTGTATTAAATTAAGAAACAAAGTACCTAATTTTTATGTCAAATAACAGCGAAAAGAAAAAAAAGGATAACGATTTTCCCGATAATGCGGGCTTTGAAATTCATTTTTACAAAACAAGCAAATAAGCTAAATACAAACCAGGTGACAATAAAAAATGGGAAGATCTAGAGCGACCTCGTTAATATAAGCAGATCGTCTGTCTGCAGCTGTTTTCGTTTAAGTGAGATTGATTTAAATTTCAAATGGATTCGTTCGTCCTGATCTATGGAGAGTAAAATCTTCGACAACAATGTTAAAGAGTAGATTTAACATAAATAAGGTCAAGTTTGTTTTGCTGATTTTTTTGTCCTTTGCGACACTCTTTGACCGTCTGTCTGACTAATTTACTTGATGGGGAAACAATGGTTTGACAGATTTTGGTTCTTTGCTCGATTGATTTGGTATTACGTATTAATGGTTGGTATTCAGATAGGGCATAAATATGTGATTTGTTCAACATATTACTAACTAAAATTAATTTATTCATAATATGTATACAGTATGTCCGCTGATTGTCTTTACAAGAGGAAAAACTTTTTTATTATAGACATTTTGAGAAAAATGCATTCTTCATAAACATTTTTGCTTGTTCTAAAATCGTTAATCCCGTTTATACTTTTTGAAATTTCCATACCGTTTTAGAGGAAATTTAAAAAATATGAAAATATAGTTGAATTTTTAAGAAATCATAAAAATCAAAACGCGTTTCTATGGTAATACAAATTCGCTTTCGTTTTTTGGTAGATTGTTATTAATATAATTTTAATTAAAATAATATTTTTTGCCGTTTTAAGATGTTTAAAAAGTACAAAATTTATTTAGTGCAATGCTACGATAAGGGCGATGATAATTATCGGAAAATATGATACTTTAACAACAGCAAAGAATATGACGTTAATTAAATTTAATAAAATCCTTTGATGATATCCATCTATCAAAGTATGAAATCGAAATGATATAACATAGAAACGGGTTTTGATTTTTAGGGCTTCAACCATATTTTCATGTTTTTGTTAACTTTCTCTAAAACGATATGGTAATTTGGAAAAGTATATAAACGGGAATAACCATTTTAGAACAAGCAAAAGTTTTTATGAAAAATTATTTTTTCTCAAAATATCAATAATAAAACAGTTTTTCCTCTTGTAAAGACAATTCGGAGACATTGTATAATTCATATCTAATTTTATAATTTATAAAGTCATATAATATATACCGTATGTTCAAAAAAATGGCGTCATATTGGCTTTTGAAATGACAAACCGTTTATAATCTTGGATATGGTTTTGTGTTTTGTTTCCAAGAGCTACCTGCAATTTTTATTATTACAGAATACGGTTCCTGAAAAATATCTGTCACATCACTTATTAGTTAGTTAATACAATATAATCGAAAAAAAGGCGTCAGCGATGGCGCCGATGGCTATAAATGAAGATCGCTGTCATTTTATATATAAAATTATATTGAGAATGTCATCGATTGTCATTTTGTCTGGAAACTTTTTTTACTACATATGAAAAAAAATTTGATGTTTCCAACGTCTCAACATTTACAATGATTATTTTTATTTCTTTTTTTATTTGTAGAAAATATTTGAACGTATATGGTTCTATATGTATATTTACGATTCTCTATAGCGATCAGTTCATTAATTAGAGCATTGAGGCCATTGACACTTCTTTCCTATATCTTATATTGTACTATGTACATAACGGTGCATATCAAAGATCTTATAATCCCTGCATATTATTTCTTATCACCGATTTATAATTAGTACATATATAAGGTAAAAGTTATCATTTTATCGTTAATTTCGAATATATAAATATTGCCTATGATTTACACAGACGGTTTCAGATATTTTTGATAATTTCATGATCATTCAATATAATTATCTTAACATTAAGCTCTTTTTTTTTATAGAAATCACATTACATATATAAAATACTCATTGAGGCTAAATTTCATGAAATGATCTAACTTCTTGGTGGACTAACAAAGACTTTTCTTTATAAAAAGAAGAAAATTCGAAATTAAACTTAACAACAATTCTTTTTGATATAAAAAAATGCAATTACAGGTCTGGTCATCCTAAATTATTGGTCTGGATATTAACGTGGAAGATAATGATGGAGATATCTTAATGGACATCTTAAGCATCTTAAAAAGGGAAAAAAATGTTCTGATATATTTTCTCCCATGCGATATTGCCGGATTTTGTAGCAAAAAATTACAATTGGCTATGTAGGCACTTTGAATAGTTTTGTATCTAGGGTTGGAACATTAATGTAATGTATTAATAATTAATTACTCGTTTTACTACAGTTGTAATACCTCAAATAGAATTCCAGATTCTAAAGGTATGTCTGTTTAATTCAATTTGATTTTCACCCCGCTTATCCTTAACCATGTATAGTAGCTAGGAACCGGCAACACTGTACATATTTCTTTCTTTCTCTGCCTATCATCTGGTTATAAGTCATATATACCTTTATCTTTGTCTTACGCATTAAGCTCAATTTCCACATACCACAGATTTAGAATGACCAGGCCAATACATAGTCTGTCCAGTGAGAGAATATTTGAAATGACGAACAATGTCAAACAATTACTTTTTTGACAAGAAGTAAATAGATGCAAAAATGCCAGAATAAAAACATAATTATTTTATTTTGAATGAATTTTATAAACTTTTTTTAAGCCTCTTTATAATATCACACTCTTCAATTTAAGTCCTGATACAATGTCTTTCCAAATTTGTACACTGTACATATATAACCCATTAAAAATGAAGAAATACCATGAAACAAACTCTGGAAAAGTCCAAATTAGCAAAAATTCATATCACAAATGGCGTCTCATGACTTCTCCTTTATTCAAATTATCAACATGCAACAAGTGTGGTATACTCTTTCGCTGGGCAGGCTATGTGTACTTATAAAAAAATATCCAAACGATACTATATTTTTTGTTTGAATTATAGTAATGACAAATAAAAATGTAGTAATTATGAAATCAGTCAAATTATATAATTTAACATTAAATGCTTATTATTGTTATGTCTAATAGGCTCTAACATGATTAATGAAAATGATACTTTTTTTTTAAATTATCTAAATTCAAACAGAATTAGCATTGTTTCAAAATATTTCTAGTCTTAATATGAGAGGAAAAACCTCGAAGTATATTGACACTGTCAAATTTATTCGTTTTTGGATTTCAGCATATCAGAAATAGTGCAGAAAATGCCGAAGATCTAAAACGGGTAAGTTTAAGACTTCCAAATAAATATACTCAGTGATTTTAGTATGATATTAACCGTTATTTTACTATTCGCGGTGACGTTTTACCATGACCTCACAGAACGATCGATCCAGTATCAATCTCTGCAATAAAATTCAAACAGACTTTGTTCTGCCATCTATTGTGAAACTAGTCAAGTAAATTCACATAAATCAGCTCGACATAAATTTTTTACATGATACCGTTGATTGAAGAAATAAGAAGATTCTCAACCTTATCGGCAATTTTGTGGTACAAAATATGTCCGAGATGTAACTGGGCGTTACTGTTACCTGTCCGAGATTTAGTTTATCTTTGTGCCGTTGCGCGCTAATAGTCGTTTACACCGGATGCTAATAGTCGTTTACAGTGGATAAAGAATGTAGTTCTGCTTTCAGTCGACAGAGTGGGTGGTTGCTGGAGACAGTGTTGCCGGAACTACGGATTAATCCGTAGATTTACGGATTTTGGGTACAGTACGTTAAGAATAAAGATTTTCTATTATTAAACAATTTAATATAGTACCACGTCAATGATATATTATATGATTAAATAAAGAACGGCGTCAGAGTTGGCTTGGAAATGAAAATCGTTGTTATTTCATAATGTAAATGTCAACAGTCGTCATTTCCAAGCCAATTAAATGACTTTTTTCGATCATAGGAAATATTCAGTACCTATAAAAGAATTTTTATTTTTGCCATATTCAAAGATATTTTCGTCAAAAACGTATTATAGATATTACACATTATATATATATATATATTACACATTCACCCATTACGTTGCGTATCTTCCCAATTCTTTCAATCAACAATGATACATACCACTTATTACCTATACTGTTTACCTAATTAAGGGCTTAGAATAAAAGAGATCCAAGTGACTTTTTTTTAATGGATTTAAGTGCAGGCTTAGATACTTTAGGTGCTAATTTATTTGATATAAAAGGAATTAAGTAGATTCTACAGTGACTCTAACTTAATTGCAAGTTAAACTCAAAGTTTGTTATGTCACATACATAAATGTCTGACTGTGATGACTTTTTTATATTGATAATTTTTTTGTTTCAATAAAATAATTCAAACTAATTTACTCTGATAACATTGACTTTGTCATTTCAATAGCCACTATAACGCCGTTTTTTTTAATCGTGCGGATTTTTAATACAGGGTCGGCTAGGTCAAAGTTTACTAAATAAAATATATTATTTAGTAAATTTTGCTCAAGTGCCAAGACCGTCTCTCGCCGATGCGGTATATCAAATTTGTATCAGATTTTCTATGATACACCAGTTAATTCAAGTTTAAGCCTTCATATTTCACCAGTGTAATCTTGAAAAATAATTGTAGACCATCTCTTATTTTTAATTAATCATTTATACTCGAAATTCCGTACCTCCGTCTCGCTAATCTTATCAGTATTCGTTATCGTTATGGGTACGTTTACATTAGACACTTTTTCAGTTGATTTTTTACATAAATCCGATCAAATTCTCCGTATAATCGTCTGCAGCAGTGAAAGTAGTGTTTATTAATGTGTACTAAGTGTTTTTATTTGGAAATTAACCAATGCATAAGGATTATTAAATTAATTTTGTAAGTTTTTAATACAATTTAATATCTAGGTTATCCTACAAAGTAAAGTTTACAGACATGTGCTTGTTATCAGTTACACGTCAACTATCCTGTTAGTTAATGTTTATAATAAATATTCCGTTTGTGAAAATGTATAATTACGTATACATGTTATTTATAAATTATATTTTATTGTACTGACTTTATATCGAACAGAACAAATTAATTATTTGATTATTTTACAAAAAACACATTGTTTTAATATATAATTTTGGTCTGTTAGTTTTTACTACTAGGCATTACAACAAATATGTCTAATGTTATTTCATTCTAATCATTTCAATAGTTTCAGTTTTTGGTTAAACAAAATAAATACTATTTAAAAAATCTAAAAAAGTTAAAACATTTTTATTGTGAAATTACGAATCTTTCTGTATAATAATAATTGAATGATTTTACCAAAATAATTATCTTTTTTTATTTCATTTGGTTATTAATATTAATATATTAGATAGAAAATAAAAAAGTAATACTAGGAAAAGTATTAGAAATGATATATTTTTAATTAAATTTACAGGGTGTCAAAAAATAGTCTATCTAACTTTGCCGGGTGATTTCTACAGATAAAAATACGACAAAAAGTTCCTATAAACATATTTCCTAAAATGCTTCTTAAAGAAATTACAGCCCTCGAAAGTGTAAATAAAAATAATATATTTTGCTTATTTTTAAGAACTTTGGTAAACTATTTTTTTTGAAATTTGGTTTTCTTACACACATTTTAATGCTATTTTAATGTCTTGAAGGGGTATTTTCCATTAGGGTAGAGGGTACTACAGCTGGTACTTTTTTATCCTTATAGATACAGTAATTTCAACAAATGACATAAAAATCTAGAGCATTTTACACAAGAAAGGTGTTTTTCGATTAGTTCGGAACAGTGACTGATTTTCAAGATATTTGCGTTTAAAGGTTACGATGCGGCTATATGACTATTAACGCTATTAACGAAATCATAAGACTAATTTATTTTTAATTTCTTTACATTTCATCATTTTGTTAATACTAAAATCGACGCATTCTAACTTTTAAACGCAAATATCTTGAAAACCGTTCACCATATCGAACTAAACAAATAATACTTTTTTTACGTAAAAATGTCCTAGCTTTTTATATCATTTGTTGAAATTACTATATCTATAAGTGTAACAAACGTACCACCAGTAGTACTCTCTTTATTACGAAATTTTACACTATCGACATTTGCCCTGGCATTAAAATGTGCGCAAGAGTACTAAATTTCAAGAAAAACGGTTTACCAATGTTACCAAAAATCAACAAAACATTATTTTTATTTACCCTTTCGGGAGCTGTAACTTCTTCGTGAAGCGTATTAGGGGATATGTCCATAGGAACTTTTTGTTTTATTTTTATCCGTAGAATCACCTACCAAAGTTAGATACACTATTTTTTTGGAACCCTGTATATTCTTGGTTTTATTTGTATGTACAGTGGTGGCCAAAAGTATGGAAACTTTTTTAATTTGTCATTTATGCTGAGAAATTAAAAGATGAAATAAAACGACTTATATAATCGTGACCTACAAATAATTTCCTACAAAACCTAATACATTTAAATAAAAAATTACAGCTATCAAAAAATATATAAAAAATTATGAATATTTTCTTGGTCAAAAGTATGGAAACTTAAGAAGAATGTTTATTAAAATTCAAGATAATATAAAAATTACTAATATGTAGTGGAATATCCCTTTGAATTAATTACTTCTCTACATCTTCGTGGCATCGAATCGATCAATCTCGTACAATCTTTACTGGAAATGGCCGCCCATTCAGTTTTTAGCACTTCCCATAATTCATTTTTATTTGAAATAGAATGGCTTCGAATTTTGCTATCCAAATGGTCCCATAAATTGTCTATGGGGTTAAGATCCGGAGACTGTGAGGGCCAATCCATTATTGGAATATTATGTTCATTTAACCAGTTTTGAACAAACCGAGATTTGTGCTTGGGATCATTGTCTTGCTGGAACAACCATCTGAGTGGCATTTCTTCATCAGCATGAGGCAGCATATTATTCTCCAATATGTCTTTGTACAAAAAACGGTCCATTATCCCATCAATTTTAACAAGAGGACCAACACCTGAGCGAGAAAAACACCCCCATACCATTATACTCCCACCCCATGTTTTACTGTGGGCATCTGGTACTTATGGCTGTACCGTGTACCTTTTGGTCTTCGGACATAACGTCTCCCGTCACTACCAAACAGTTGAAACTTGCTTTCGTCGCTAAACAGTACAGTATTCCATTTCTGATAAGACCAGGTGAGATGATCTTGAGCAAATTTAAAGCGGGCCATCCTATTTTTCTTTGATATTAGTGGTTTCTTCACCGCAACTTTTCCAAAAAGTCCCATGTCATCCAACCTTCTTCTCACCGTGCGTGCAGACACCGATATTCCCCTTTCACCCATTTCTCGAGAAATGTCTGTGGATGTTTTTCTTGGATCTCCCATTGATATTCTCGTCATTACTTTCATTGTCCTGTTGCTCAACTTTCTTGGTCTTCCTGACTTAAAAGCTGTTGAAACGTTCCGTTTTATTAAATTAACGAATTATTTTCGAAACGGCGCCTTTTAAAATGTTTAAATTTTTACTTATTTGAATTTGTTTATAACCGCTCTTGTATAATTCAACTATTTTATTTTTTAAATCCGTAGAGAAATATTTAGGCTTGGGCATGATGTTTATATTTATCTGAAGCAAATCGTACCGTTTATCAGCTTAAACTAAATAATTTTAATGTATTTATTTATGGTTTCCATACTTTTGGCCACAAGAAATCTATTGTTTTCCTACAAAAACTGCTAAACCTATTTTTTTCGCTGTGTAATTTTTGGAATACTTTTATTTGCTGATAAGCTGTTCATTTATATTCCTGAGAGTTTAAGCATAGCAATATTTTCTGTGATATTTTAAAAAGTAAAAAGTTTCCATACTTTTGGCCACCACTGTATATTTACACTTATACGTGCTAATACTTAAATGATATATTGATTCATCTTTACATATAAATTGTTTTATTAATTCACAAAATTAAATAAAACACGTATACATCAATTTCTTCGACTCTCGAAATGGAAATAATATAAGTAAATATTAGAAATCTTAAATTTAATGCTTTTGCTCCATATTTCATTTGATATCAAAAGATATTTTTTCAATATTAATTACTTGTGTCTTCTGTCCTATCTTCATATAAATACGTAGCTGCTTTTTCTAACATGCATGTTAATAGAAAAAAGGTTATCTCATTAACATTATTTCTAATTTATTAAAATCCTTGAGCGATAATAATTATAAATAAATATGTGATTATTTA